AAAACTCAAATGTCATTCGATGTTGGTACCTCTGCTTCAATGGTAATGAGGCAATTGCAATTTTTTATTTCATTTAGACCTGTTTATACTCGAGATAGCCGTCGATAATCGTTCAATTTCTACAAAAACTGATTTTATTTTGCTACTGTTGAGTCTTTTTAGTCCTTGTTACAGTTCCGGACAATTTCATTTAATTACGAACAAGCAAGGGTCATTTAACTTTTACGAAGCAAAGACCGGCAACAAAAGTACTCACATTGTACATAAAATTTTCAATTCTGGTTTTAAAACAAGGTGATAATTGACTTAGCCGCTTGAAGTAACCTATAATTTGTGATTTTTTAAGACCCAAAATCGATCTAATTAAGTCATTCGCCCACGTGCCTTGATCCAAAAATAAGTCTCTCAACTGATTAAAACCCGTTTAAAGGTCACGCTGCACTGGACCAATTTTACTCAAAAATTGCAACAATGAGACTAAACCGTGAAATAATTAGGACTCAACAACCGAAAAATCGCCAAAAGAACCGCAAATGATAATCAAAAAGCTGTGGACCACCAATGGTTGTTTTTGGAATGACAGGAAATTCAGCTTTCGCGAATTGGACATTGAACTCTTTTAATTGTTTACTTGGAGCCAGAGTGAAACCGTTTTGTGTGTCAGTCTTAAATGGCACTTGACACTTTGATACCATCAAAAACATTGTTTTTGTCGAAATTAATAACCAGTTTTGTTAAGTATCGAATATTTCATTTAAAATTCAAATTTGTTTATTAATAAAATTGAAAGTGATGCCCACACTAGAACCAAAACTGGCAATCGATAAATAAATAAATAAATGTTAAAAATGAAGTTTCCTAAATTATTCTGACCACACAAGAATGCGACAATTATAAGAACGTTTCAAGAAGCTGTTGGAATAATTAAAACAGTGTGTACTTAAATACCAGCGCTATAAATAGCATTTGTCGTGAAAATGAAAGACCGATAAAATGTTACTCCAAGTACTAGTTTGTTAAGATTAGCATAAATTAACGATCAATTAATTTTTATCTCAAAGTAAATAAACCTTGAATGGTTTTTTGAGAAAAGTAAGCTGCTTATATAACACGAATTAAAGTTTTAAAATAATTTTAAATTAATAAAGCCAGACATAGACCAAAAATCAACCATTTGTTATTTTCCCAGGTAAATATGTCAGATTCTAACTTGTAATTTGTACGATTAGGGTCTGACTGATGTATTCTGAAAATACGCCCCTTCATAATAATTTCAGAACCATAATGCCAAAATTACGTTTTTTTATTGTTTCTGGAGAAGTCTTTTTATGTTTTGTCGACTTTTTTCTCAAAAATACGCCTAGGTACATAAATAATTAATAAATTAATTATAATTTTGGAAGACATTTTATTAACTTCTAAATTTGTAAAAAACACTGAAATTATTATAATTTCTTAGGCATTCTTTTGATATTATCGTAAGAAATATGTAATTTATTATGTGATATGGTTATTTTTGCCACAAGTATACCTAAAATACCTAAAATACGGTCCGCAAAAACGTTTTAGGTACGTGTTACAAACTACATTTTTTTGTTAAAGCTCCAACAAAACGAAGTTACACCTCATATTAATTAAAAAAATTTCGCCACCATGGTAACCAAACTGACTTTTTACTCCGGAAAAACTGTTTTTGGGGCTAAGTACCTAAAATAACCATTTTATGTACTATTTTATTGAGTCTAGAAAAGACTCAAATGAGTCTTTAAACAGCTATTTTCGAAAGCAAATACAAAAAAAAACAAATTTTTGTTAAAGCTCCCAAAAACACATTCACACCTCTTATTATTTATGATTAATGTGATGAGAGCAAATATTTCTTAAAATTATATTGAGCTTCGAAGTCCAAAAAATCTTCATTTAAGGGGAGCGTATACAAAAAAATAAAAAGGAGTATGTGTAAAGCTATTTTTATTTATGAGAATGTTAAAAAAATAAGTTAATTTTATAAATAAAAAAAACGAAAATGTACGACTCTTATTTACTATATTATAGCATAACGTTATTTCCTATTTCCATACTTCCTATTTCGGTAATTTTCAGCAGTACATAGAATACAAAATTCACCAAAACAATAATTCACTTTGTGTACATACATTTTAATAAAATCTAATTTTCTGATAAATATTCAGATGTTAAAAACCAAAAGTGTTAAAAATAATTAATTGTCCCAGAGTGATTAGAACTGGTGTTAAACTACCATTGCAGGTATTGTAGTTTGAGCAAAATTAATCAGAATGTGTAACACTCATTTTGTATAGGTTCTAATAGGTAATATCAATAAAAAGTATCTTTTCCAGTTGTTCATTCAAAAAAGGCCAAAAAGGATATAATTATTTGAACAAAATTTATGAAAGCATAAAGTGTTTATTTTTTTGTTGTTTTATGTGTTGAAAAAATTCTTAACACTTTGTAATCCATCTCGTGGTGCAAAACTGGTTTTAATTTACCCCTGGAACCAAAGCACACTTTCCATCATAAATATTTCACCTCCACCTTATAATTTGTAGGGTCAGGGGCGTCCGAAGAAATTTGATGCGGCGATGGTGCAGATACCTGATGATTTATCTCTCGAAACGCCTCTCATCCCATTATCATTAATCCAGTCGTACTTTCATCAAATCAGACGTCCTTGCCCATATTATGTATCGGATATGCACTGAAATACTACGTGAAAGGATTTGGCGACCTCGGGGTCGCCTCCACTAAACTCTTGCAAAGTATCAAAGCGTAACTGTAAACTTGACGACAGTTTTGTTTTATGTGTGATAAATTTTTCACGCGAGCAGAACTCATTTCTAATTACCATAACCCAGCACGTGGTCACTTACTCGATTAAAACTCACGCAAACTTTCATATTTTTTGCGTAATCATTTCTCCAGTCCAGTTTTGCGAAGGTGAGCGCGGGAAATTGACCCTCCATAGTGGAATTACACGATTCTTACTACGAAACGTGCAATATTCCAGAACCTATTTATTATACACAAAAATCTGAAAATTTATTCTTCAAGCGCCGGTAATTGCGATTGAATTAGATACTCCAAAATAGAAAGTGGCATTACGTAATTAGGTTTGGGAGCAATTGTCGACACTTTAATCACAACAGTTAATAAGAAAATTTGCTCCTGGCAAGACTTTAACTGTGATGGCGCCTTATTATTACGAGGAAGAGGAGTTGACGTGAAATAGAGGGACGTTTTTTCGAGTAATTGGACAGGAAACTGATTCGGGTTAAAAAATATCAAGCCGTGAGATTGTACGGTTTGAAAGATCTTCACAGATGATACTGATTGCTGCTCCACTTACCAACACATTATTCGAACTAATTTTCTTCTGTTATTCAGTTTTGTCGTTGCTTTATTTGTTACTTTTTATTACTCTATAGAGTAAACTGTTTCTCGTCCTATTTGAACTCTATTCTCGATTTGTATCCAAAGGAAAAAATAATACACAACGATACACCACATTTTCTTTACTACGAGTATTGTTTGTGATAATTATAGCCTAAATGAATATGTATAGCGCTTTGTTATTTTTTACCGTTGCCGTCATTGTATAAAAATTAGACAAAACACATTTTTATTGAAGTTTTGCTTAACATTTTAGACTAAAAGAAGTAAGAATAAAAAAACTTAAACGTCTATTTTTGTTTCTTAGAATTATTAGAAAAATTATCAATTCATTTTATTTTAAAACAAGATACAAGAAAAACTGTAAACAAAAGTTCAAACAAAATTATTGAAGAAATAAATGTTGGTAACTGTACTGGGTGTCCCAAGATTTAGGGTCGGCGCAAAAATAAATATTTCGAATTGATTAAAAAAGAATTTTGATAGAGGATTAAATACACTTTAATTTGATGTTTTAATATTGTAAAAATATGGCAGTGAGACCTTAAAAATTAAATTTGGAATATTTTCTACATGATAAAATTCTTTGATTTTCTGTGGTATTTGTGAAAATAATGTGAGAATAATGATAAAGTTACTCGATTTTAATACAGAATTAATTCAAAATTAATGTATTTTATAAAAATAATTGCTTCAATCTCAATTTTAGGCTGAAATAAAGCAATTTGTGATATTTTCAATCGATTTGGCTCAATTTTAAGCCTGAAATCAACCTGAATCAAAGTATTTCAACAAAATAATGGCTTGAATAAGAGTTTTCTTCTAAAATAAAGCAATTTTAGCTATTTTCAATTCAATTTTTCTCGATTTTAATACAGAATTAATTCAAAATTAATTTATTTTATTATAATAATTGCTTAAATCCTAATTTTAGGCTGAAATAAAGCAATTTGTGTTATTTTAAATCGATTTGGCTCAAGTTTAAGCCGGTAATCAACCTGAATCAAAGTATTTCAACAAAATAATGGCTTGAATAAGAGTTTTCTTGCAAAATAAAGCACTTTAGGGTCTCACTACCACACGCAAAAATGTTTGTACAATATCAAAACATCAAATCAAAGTGTATTTAATTCTCTATCGTTTACAGTATCATTTTTTTTTTATTAATTAGAAATATTTATTTTTGCACCGCTCTTAAAACTTGAAACACTCTGTACAAAATGTGTGAAGCTTCCAAGCAGTAACTTTCTTCAAAAATTTATCTACATACCTTCGATGTATCTTGTTAATGGCAAATTGTTTCACCTGTTTGCGAATACTCCAAGAGAAACGAGGTTGTCATTTGCTTGCAATTACAGGAAATTGAAGTAAGCCAAATATGTACAGTCGGGTAAAATTTCATTTCTTTTTGTTTACCATATGGAAGAAAGTCGGCGACCCAAAAACCCTACAGACATCCACGCTTCGCTGCTATTCAGCCCTGGGCGAAAATGCAAAACGGAGAAAGACAATTCAATGCCACCAAAATAATTAATTTTTTCGGTGCACCTCAACCCACTTGTCCTTTACTAAATGAATTGATTTTTCAGCAAAAATGAAGATAATACTTCCGCTAGTCGTTTGGATGTGGCTGCACACGACGGTGAGTACAAGCTTAACCCCTGAAATAACCATTTTTACGACGCTATAAACTCCCAGAATTATTGACGCAATTTATGCAAAAATAAATACTTGGATTTCATGGGAAGCAGAAATATAATTACTGACGAAAAAATCGTTACTTTGATATAATTAAATCGACCCACGATGAAGCATAATTCACAGTGGGAAATTTCTCGACTTTTTTAGACTTTTGTAGGCGTTAGCAACACCAAAACTGCTGAAACTAATGATTGAAGTATAAATTATCCTCCTAATGACTTAACGGTTAAACTGGGGCATAGTCCCAAGGCGAGACATAATGTCACTCTCTTTGTATGTTAATTCAGATAAAGTTGGCACGACTGAATCATGGGTGGAGTCATTTTCGAAAGTCGGCTCTATATAGAGCCTCACTTTTTCCCTGCACCTGTAATGCACTCATGGCGGTATTTCCGTTTTTTTAATTCATATCCGGTGTCTCCGGAGGAAGATCACGTACTTCCTGTTCTTCACTATTGTGTCTCAAAGTCATTGACGTTGGAAGAATTGTTAATAGAGAGATGAGTGATCACCAAATTCCAAGAATTGCAAATTGTTTAAACACTGAAAAGTAAAAAATCAATGCTTTCATTTTTTCGACAATTAATCACACTTGTTCACCCATTCGGAAACTGAATGCCGATTAATTCAACAATACGAATTCTATTTGTTCAAATTTAAACACTTTTACTTCCTTTTTCGGTCACTCTTGATTTTTTGAGACAGTTATGTTATGTGCAGATCAAGGCTAAACTCTGACCCAATATTTTCAGCAATGCAGTTTAGAGAACAATAACACCCACACAAGGTTGCAAAATAATCACCGGAATTGGCAGAGCTTTCTCTTGAGCCAATCAAAAAGGCACTTTGTGATTGGGGAAACACGATTTTGCCATTAAAGCGAAATTTCCAATATTATCCTTAGCCAGGATAACAGGAAAATCATTTAAGCGAGTATTTAAATCGACTTTTTAACGACTACTTTCGTATTTCGATGATTTGTGTTGAGAGACTTCGACGATCGGTTAAACGACGAGCACAAAAAATGTATTAAACTGAAATTTTGAATATTATCCTTCGTTGTGGTAACAGGAGAATCAATCGGACGAGTATTTAAATCGACTCCCGTGTCTTTTTAACGGTTATTCTCGAGTTTTATTTATTCGTGTTGGAGCCTTCGATGATCGGTTAAGCGACGAACTCGCCGTAAGTTAGCTGGAAAAATCTTTATGACGTCTTGATTCAATGAACTTTGTTGCATTCTAATTTACATAAGTCGATAGAATAGCTTTCTGGTGTAGTTGATTCTTTATCAGCGCCATAAATGTTAATGCATCGATCAATCTGAACACTGCAATGATTAACATATTAGGTTGCGATTTTAAGACTCAAGGCCGATTCAAATATTTCTTAAGTAAAGAAGCCACGAATCTGGCTTAGTCAGTTTCTATTCTTACCACTTTACGCTACTTATGTAATACGCTTTAGAAATTAACGAAACCAAATCACTGAAGCGAGGTGTTAACGTTTATTTATAAAACGAGATGAGTCTGATGTCACGACTAAATCCTGTTAGAAAAATTAATTGTCTATACGAAAACAACAATGACTAATAGATGACCATTGTGTCGTCATTAATATTCCGACTTGTCCACTCGAAGAAAGTTACAAGTTACAAATCGTGGCGTTGGTATAACCACAGCAACGATAATTGCATCACTGCAGTTTGATTGGAAAAAAGAAACCATTCTTTGAACTTTCATGGGTCATTATTTATATAATTGACCGTGATTATAACAGTCTGCAGCCTTGTACATTAATAGATAAGTTACAAGCATTGTATTTTACTCTTTTGTAAGTTTCAAATTCTATAAATGTTCGATTAATTCGAGAACAATCTGTTTAAAGTGAAAGAAATCGGTTAGTTGTTGCAAAATTCTGGACATGACTCATCGGCTAAGAGAACGTGTTTGCGATTCGCCGCTTTGTAAAAATTGTGATCGGAATAAATAACACGAAAGTAGTAGCTTTATTTAATTAAAAAAGCAAAAACCTGCTCATTTAAAAAAGCTATTTCAGTTATTCAAAGGTACAGCAAAAAATAAAAAAATACAAAAAAATATCACTTTATAATTGAGACTTGAAGAGATTTTGTAAAACTGTAAAAGCCATATAGGTATTGGAAATTAAAAGCTGATTCTAATTTATATTTTAATTTAAATTTAATCCGGATTTGTCTGGCTTTTATTTTCATTTCATTTAATCCGGATTTCACTTCAAAACGGAGTAAAATTTTGTCAAAGTTGAAAAATAAGTTTCAGGTTTCAACCATTCACAAATTATGTCGAGTTTGGTTGCTGCTAACGGTTCCGTTTGAGCATTTTTCCAATTCAGTGCCTACTTCCACTTGAGTTTTTTCCCGATTTCGCCTTGTGTAAAATAATAGCATTAAAACGCAAATAACAGCTCAGAATCCTTCGCGTCGAATCAATACATTTATAATTCATCTAACGGTCCAGCATAACCCGAAGTCAACGTCTTCTCATTTGCTAAAAATCCAGCAACAAAGTGGCCACTTTTCCATTTTCCCAACACAATTTGTGATAACCACTTCCCGTTACGCTCTTCTTCATTTTGTGGCACTTTTGTTTTTCGTACCGTTAGTACCGTGAGAGCACATGTTTATTTATTCTGATTTTTTAACGGTACTGAAATGTAAATAAAGCAGTTTTTGGCACATGTGTCGGAATGCTGCTCTTTCAAGGTGGCAGCGATTAGCATGTGGATTTTTACACTAGGAGATATATTGAGGATAATTGATAGAGTGCGAGATTTATTCGTCATAAGAAATGCAGCGTTCGCATTATGTGAGGCTGAAAGCTGCAATTACAAAGTCGAAATGTTATCGCGGCCGAAGCATAAATTTATCTATGAAAACATAATTGTTGGCTTGGGTTAAATGCATAAAATTCGAGTGACATTTCAATAGGACTAAACGGAATACATAATGGAGATTTTATCGAGCAGCTACTGGAAGTATCTCTTTTGTTACTCCTCTAATTTATTACTTTTGCCAATTTTTTGGCTCGGGATAGGTTCAAGGATAACACAACGATTCCTCAGTTCAAAATCCTCTTTTTTCTTGTTTTACTAATGAAATTGAAGTGTATAGACACGGAACATGGAAACACGTGTTACGAGAAGGTTTTATCTGAAAGTGAGATCAAAACGTGATGGTTTCGTCAGAGGCAAAAAGGATGAGACATTTGTAACAGTAAAATATGAAGAATGTCACAGAGCAGAAAGTTTGTTGACCGATCGTAAGGTGGCAAAAAGCCGTTTGCATAAGTTTATGACTGAATAAATAGAAATTTTATACAAAGCACACATCCGCTCGGCGGGACAATTACTATTTTCAGAAAAAATTACCAAAGATTGAAGCCAACGGTGATTCGAATAAATATACTCACATTTAAGCAGGTTGTTGTTATTCAAAAAAGGTTCCTTTAATTTTTTGTTTATTCAACTGACCGTTGAATCTAATTTTACTTCATTTTGTTTTTCATCATGATAATTTAATTTTATTGACTTATCTATACCTTGTCTATAACTGACCCACATTCCTAACTATTTTTACTATCTAAACACTCACGTCTGTCTTGTAATAAGACAAGTTTTACAAGTTGGATTAAGCCAACAGATCAAAATAAAATCCGGTTCAAACCTACTGAAAAAAGAAGCTACTTTATTTTGAGAAACTTGACAAATCCAGCTTAAATCTAGATTAAAATATAAATTTTAAATTCAGTTATTCAATTTAAATCCAATCAGTTAAAGTATTTACTTGAATAATCAAGTTAGGGGGATAAATGTTTTGATTACTTTTTAAGTGATGCATTTTTGGGAAACTTAAACACTACAGGGTGTTTTATAGAAACACAAATAATAAAAAAATACCAAGTAAGATAAGATACCAGGTACATTAAAAAATGTTAAAAAATTCTGTCAAAATTTTTTGACATTTATTTTTTGACATTTGACATTTGTATGTATCCTACAGTCCACATTATTAAGTGACAACTTTCTTATTGTATAGGAATAAGTTTTAATTTAATTTGCTAAAAAACAAATACAACAATCATGGAATTTTGATTAGGTACTTAGGTACTTCACGTTTAAATATGAGTACGTTTAGCTGGATTTTTGAGAACTAAAATGCTCTTTTAATTCACTTTACAGGTTTTGCTCGAGCTTATCAAATACCTGATATTAAAATAAAAACGAGCTTTAGAAGCTTTAGAACCTACTTCAGGATTTTTTTTATTAATTAAATCACGCACTTCAGTGCATTTGCAACTTAAAATAAACTCTGGGTTAAATCTAATAAACATAAATCCAAGTGTGGGAAACTTCTACAAATCCGGATTAAATCTAGATTAAAATACAACTTGGAATTGATTCCCAATTTCCTACTGGTTTTAAAACCTCTTACAAAAAAATCAACGTTAATTTGAGTTAAATTAAGTTGCTAAAAATATAGAGCAACTAATTGGTTTGATTACTTTTTTTCAAAACATAAATTTTGCTGCATTCTCTATAAAGTTAAAATTGCTCTTTTAATTGACCTTTCGAGTCTTTGCTATGAGATAATCAAAGCCCTGACATTAAGAAAACAATTTCACAGCATCTTAGAGCTTTTCTAAAAAAATTACCGATAACAGGAAATTATATCACACATTAAACAGTCGAATATGTTTAATTAATTTTTTGCATTCACCAAGTCTAAATATTTTAAAAGAACAAACCTAGAAGAAAATTTCAAAATGTCAATTTTAGAGAACGTAATTGCAAAAATGTTTTTTAATATATGAATGAAAAATCATGTTTGAAAGTTCCCTTTCAATTCACTCCACTTGTGGCGAGTGTTAGTAAAAGCAATTGCCTTTTATTAAGTCTCCTCAA